CACATGCATGTTTTAGTCTATTTTTTAAGATCATAAATATGGAATACATGGTCTTAAGTTTCTTCATTATGATTTTCATGGAACAAACGCTCCAATATTGACTGGTAGACAAAAATTTAATTAAATATTTGGAAAATAAGTGGAATTTTCATAGTCAGTATAATTCCTAACATGCCTGTAAACATCATGAATTCAAGGCATGCCTAGGCTTCATAGGGAAACCCTATCTCAAAGAGAAAGAGAGAGAGAGGGATGGATGGAGAGAGAAACAGAGAGAGAGACACACACAGAGAGAGAATGAATGAATGAATTTCCCAAAGAGAAATTTTTTTTCTGAAATCTAGAAGAAATTCCTTTTGGGGACTGCAGGATAATTAGGGCATTTTAATGAAATGAAAAAAGAATAATTATGTTGCTCATTACCATTGCAGCTTAAAAACGGAGCAGTGTTTTTCTAGCACAATGGAAGAGGAACTGTAAGTATTACTTAGCTATTTCCACATTTGAAACTCTCCCTTCATGCTGGAAGTTTTATCTTAGATAGGACATGCAACTGTCTGTGTGGATGCACAATATAATCACAATGAACACATGCATTTGATCAATCAATAGAGAGTAAGTGGCATTTGCCAGTGATCTTCTATGTTTTTTATCCCTCAGCTGTGTTATTCACTAGCATTCAACTTGTACTGTCAGTATTTTGTATCAATGTCAGAAAGTGGTCATCTTGTCTTTAGTAAATAGAATAATGAGAGTTAAAAGCTGAACAAGACAACAGCTATTGAGACAATTTTAGTCTCCAGAAGACAGACATTTTGTCATAGATTGATAGCTGTTGTACTTTAAAACGAATTATAAAAATCCATTTTCAGAGTATAAGAGTTGTGAATAACAATTAAACAGCTTTACTCTGCCAAGTCCCCAAGTAGTCAGTCACATCTGTGTTCCTTTTGCCCAAAGTACGATGTTGTTGTAAATTAAATACTGGTTTTATCAACTGATCCTTCTACCCAGCATTTTGTTTCCTTAAATGAAAAGCAATTAGAATATATTGCAATATGATAGTTGAGAAAGGAAGCCAGAAGTAGGAAGATGAGGCTGGCATTTCCTCTGCAGCACAGAACCAAGCATGCTTATCATGGCAGCACCTGCGGGAGTGGAAGCATGAAGGTCTACATGACAATACTCTTGACCTCAGTCTTTGAACTTAGACCTGAATCAATTCTGCGACATTGAGTGTACCATGAAGTCTGGAGGAATACCAATGCGAGTGACTAAGTAACATTTCAGGGCTTCTTGCAAATATATTTTAATCATAAAAGCAGCTTATTTGTCCACTGAGGGATAAGTAAAGAAAATATGGCATAGTTACAAAATGATATTAATGAGGTATAAAGAAGAGTAAAATGTCATCTCTAAAAACAAACTGAACCTGGGATAATTATATAAAGTAAAATAAGCAAAACTCAGAAAGTCAAATTTTCAAGTTTTCTTTCATATGTAAAATCTAAAAAATAAAAAATTAGAAAGGAAACACACGCTTATATGAAAGCATAAAGGAAGCTATTACAGGAAAAAATCAGGGAGGGGATGAAGAGAGGAACAGGGAATCCATGAGGGAGTGAGCTTGCTAAGTGTAGGTTACACACATTAATAAATATGTCAAAACTTCCCACCGTGTATAACTAATAGGACCCAATAAAACAAACACGCAAAGGAGGTAAGAAAAATGTTAAAGACACTAAAATGTAAATACTATTTTTTGCCTAAAAATATCCCAGGATCTACATCCCAACACTTCTGATCTCATAAATAAATTCTATAAAGTTGCAGGATACAAAAATAAGTAGCATTTTTTCATATGCTAGCTATTCAAAAAAGAAATCAAGAAAATAATCCAATATAGAATAACTGAAAATATATACTCAAGAATATGTTTACCCAAGGAGCTTGAAGCTCTTTTTACTTGAAAATATAAAACACTGTTAAAAAAATTGGTGAATAAACAAAGAAATGGGAAGATGTCCTGCATTTATGCGTTGAAAACTCAATATTGGTAACATGGCCATGTTTACCCACCTGGGACTCTTCAGAGACCCTGCAATCACTATTGAAATTCTAATGATATTCAACGTAGGTCTATAACATATAATTTGAATTGTACATAATTCCATGAAAAATCTGGAATAGCCAAACTGATTATGAGCAAAAAGTATGTGTCTAGAAGCATCACACTGATGCTAGGTATACTTTAAAACTATTATAATAAAAACTGACTAGCATAAAAACAAGAATACAGGCTAACTGAACAGAATATGGAGCTCAGAAATACATCTATGCTTTTGCAAACAGTTGCTCCTTGCACATTTCCAAGAGCGCATAAAAGAATGGCTACCTCTGATGCCTGGAGTAGTAGATATCTACAAAGCAATGAAATTATGTGTTTTCCTTATGCAATAAATAAAAATAAATTTTAAATGAAGTTTTAAAGGTCTGAAAATGTAAAATTTTTGGAAATTTGAGGAAAAAGTTTGTGAATACTATGGAAAGCTGTAGTTATAGGTCACTGTATGATAGGAACCTGTTTAGCTGTATGTCTCCTAGAAAGCATATAATCCATAGTTTAGACACTCATTGTTAGACTAAAAATTTTAAAGCACCAAAAATAAAACTAAGCAGTTTATTTAGAGTAAACAAAATATGAAGTGGGCGAAAATCATACATGTGATTAGAGTTTAACATCCAAAACTAGAAAATACTTCAGCTCAATAACCAACCAAACAAAAATAATGTGAATAAAATGATTCAATGAAGTTATAATATTCTCAATTGACAACATAAAAAAAATCTATCAGTTTTGTGAAAAATGCTCAATGTCATTAATCATCAGAAAAGTACAAATTGAAGACACAAGGAGATACTGATTCACAAATGTCAGCATGACTGTTATCAAGAATACCAAGGATAAGAAGTGTTCGAAAGAGGTGAAGAGTAACATCTTGCACACTGTTATAAGGAATGTAAACTGATATCGAACACATGGTGGAAGTTTCTCAAAAAAATAAAACTAGACCTGCTATATGATCCAATAATTTTATTATTCGGTACGTGACTAGAAATTTAAACTGTTATGTGAAAGTGTGATCTGTATTCTCCTATGGATTACAGAATTCTTCAAAATACTCAAGACATGAAATGCACTTAGATGTTCACTGATAGAAAAATGGATAATGAAAATATTATTCATAAGTGCTGTGTGTGTGGGTGTGCTTGTGTGTGACTGAACGCTTTTCAGTCTTACACAAGAAAGTATTCTGTCATTTATAATATATAGAAGAACTTTCACTTGTTCAGTGAAATTAGGCAAAGAAAAATGCTACATGATCTCATCAGGGTAGAATGATATTTAACAAAGGCTGGTGCACAGGAAGTGGGGGTTCGTGGTTAATCGAAAAAGGGCTGTTAATGAAAAATCACAAACTTCATTTAGGTAGAATGTTAAGTTCTGTATATTCATTTTAAAAAATGGTGACTATTGATGATTTAACACATACTTAGAAATTGCTGAGAATGGATTTTTAAATACAATAATACCTCAGTATATGAATTCTTCTGTTTGCAAACAATTTGGTTTGCAAACAAAACATTTAGCAAACTTTGTTTCCACACACAAGTTTTACTTCCGTGGTTATACCCATGCAACCCCAGTTATTTTCCCCAAAATTGTGAAACAAATAGATTGTAAACCAAGGCACTACTGTATCTCACCACAAGAAATTTGTATTTTTGCTATATTAAATTCCTTTTCTTTTAATCTCGAAATGGGTCTACATCAAAAGCCACTATATTTTGGAAGTATAATTTTTTAACTTTCAATTTTCTGACCGTAAGTTCCCCTCTTCCAATTATAATTAATTTACTTTCCTATCTTGAAATAACTTAGATTTATTTGAAACTATTCATGTATTTTATGGAGTAATTATTAACTATGTACCGTATATCCTCTTTTGATGGTTTATGTATTTATATGGCTTATACTACATACTATTAATAAATTGCATCAAATTAAATATATTAATGGTATTAAAGCATTGTTTTAGCCTAGGAAAACTGCTCACATTTTTAACACTTCTGTTGTTTTTAATGGCTATCTGATTTCATTTTGGACTAGTAAAATGGAATACTTGAGACGTGGTAGATTAAACTTAACAGACATGTTTCAGCATATGGGTTCACAGGCTGTGAAGGCTACGGTCAAGGTGTAGGCACTTGTCAGCAGCCTTCTGTGGCATCTCCCACAAAGTAGGAACAAAGTGGTTGAAAAGATATAAGAATGGCCCTCAAACACTTTTGTAATGACAGAAATCCCAACCATGAGCATAAATCTCTAGACACAAACACCTAAAGCTTAACATTTAATTTCAGCAAGTCTTAGCAAAAGCTATAAACCATACCACGTAGTTTGTTTCATGTACCACTTAACATTTTACATCATATTAAATAAGCTAATATTTTAAAAACTCTAATTCAATGAAATTCACTCAAATTGCATAATTTTGTTGTTTTTGACTAAATATTCATCAATTTTAGCATGATTACATTTATTTTAATGTACTTTCCCTGTGTTAGCATTTAGTCTCATTTAATGCATTGTAAGTTTAATTTTATTATGTAAGAAGGTGTTCTAAGCCTTATATCTCATTTATACATTTCATATGCTATTTTGCTTTACCTTTAAAAAACATTTAATATGTATTCCAGAACACTGCTGAAGTAAATCACCTTGAGAACTTTAAATTTTAATTTTAAATATCTAAAAATTTTTAATTTTTTGCTTTTTCAATTTTATAATTTTGAAGATTTTTTATCTCATAAATTTATGAGATAAAATGATCTTTGATGCTGGCATCTCAATGATTCTTACTGTGATGTTTTATTTCCTTGTTTCTCCACAGAAATATAATGAAGAAATAATAGGCCTCAAGCAATGCACAATTTACCTTACAAATCTGGAAATATTCTGAAGTCAAGGTTTCCTGAATCTCCTCTCTCAGAACTCCAGCTGTCCCTCCTGGATGCAAGGGACCACTACCAGTCCCACCGCTGTTACTGCCACTGCTGCTGCCACTGCCCGGTGAGGAGGCAGTCAAGCCATCCAAAACTTTTCGGAAATTAAACTTCTTCATTTTAAGAACTGTTGAGAAAGTCAAAGGAAAAGAGAAAGGGTTGACTAACTACATAGAATTATACCGGGTAAAATCATTTATTTTTCCATATTCAAGGCAGTAATAGCCAGCCCCATTTTATGAGCATTGGCTGAAAAGTGGAAAAGAAGAAAGGCCTCGTTTTGTCAAATTTTAATTCTAAAATACATATCTTCATAAAATAAAGACCATTCCTAGAGCAACTGTGTTCCTTCTTCATACATCAGATTTTCAAGGGCTTTATCCCCAGCTGTAACTACGCTTTGACAGCACTGGGGTCAAAATAAAAGGCAGTGTCGTCATTAGTATTATATCATTATTATTATACAATCAAACCAGAATCAAAAGAACAAGACCCTCCGCGTCTCTCTTCAAGGCGGGATTTCCTTCTAAAGGTTCAGCTAGAATAATTTTTATTTCCAGAAAAACGTTGTGGGGGGGGGGGTTGCTGCAATTTACTCTGCCACCATCTTCCAGGCGACCCCCCCCCCCAACCCTCTGTCATCTTCAACCCTGCCTTTTTTCTCGGCAAGAAATTTGGGAGGCAAAGACGCCTTTTACTCCACTCCCCATTCCCAACAGTCTGAGCCCAAAACATCTGCGGCTGACAGCACCACAGCCGACGGGAGGGACGAGCGGCGACGCCGGCCGCCTCCGTGCTGCCCCGCACCCTCATCCCGGCCCCTCCCGCCCGCGCCTCTAGACCCCCACCCCACCTCCTCCCACCCCAGCCAACCAGCCGCTCGCAGCCCCCGCGGCGTCCGCCCGCCCCGGCGCTCTCCGCAGCACGACAGCGGCCCTCAGGGGACGCGAGGCGGTGGCGGCTGCGGCGCAAGTCCCGCCTGAGCCGGCCGGGCGCGCGGAGTCAGGCTCCCGCCGTCGCTCCCCGGGGCCGAGCACCCAACGCGCGAGCATACAAGCACCCTCAGCAGACCGCCGCGCTCCGGGCCGAGCGCACACACACGCGCGCCCACGGGCCCCTACAGACCCTGCGCGGGCGCCCACACGCATGCCAGCAGGTGTGAGGGAAGCGCGGCTGGACGGCGAGCGCTGCGTCCCGGACGAACGTCTAAGGACCCGGATTTAGGCGCCCGCCTCACCGCCGCTAGCCGCCTGCCAATCCGGGAAGAGAAGGTCGCGGAGGGCGGCGGGCTTACAGGCGTGGGTGCGCCCGCCTAGGGCAGCTCCGCCGGTGTCTCTGGTCCCGGCGCCGGGCGCTCTCCAGTATTAGAAGAGTGTCCATCATTTTGTTTATAAATTCTGTATTTTATAAGAATTCAAGCCTCTGGCAATGCCTTTGGAATATCTTTTAAGAAATTATCAATGGTTTATTTTGACCAAATTTCCTAAAGTGAGTTCATTGGAATTGTAATTCCTCCATGATAGATTGTGAATGTCAACTTTCAGTCTCCCAAAATTGCCTCTTAATTGCCTTCTACCTCTTGCAATACATTAGAAATTACATTCCACTTTCTGTTAATATGTATTAAGTGTATGGGACAGTAATAAAATATGCTTCAATATGCATTGTATAAATATAATTTTAATCCACAAATTCTAAAACCTATTTTCTGGGTATGCAAAATGAAAGAATTGTCTTTAAAAGATATTTGATTATTCCTATTTTAAGTACTCATTTGGCTGCTTTTCACTTAATCTTTATTTTCATGTTTCTAAAATTTTATATAGGTTATTTGGAGCCTGAAACATTTTGCATTGAAGGAGTGATGACTAAGGATATCATAGAATGGCAGTACTAAAGTGTCATTAAAAATATTTCTATGAGAAAATATAGGAGATAGCACAGGAATAGTTATTTCTGGTGGAGTACATACAGTATTTCTAAAAATGTAACCTTTTTTTCTACATATGATTAAATTTTATCGTGACATTTTGGAATTCTTAGAGTTAGGTTTGCTTTTAATCAAACATTGCTATTTGAAGAAAAAAGATTACATATAAAGATAATTATTATGGGAAATATATTTTGGCAATTCCATAAGAAAATCATCTGATATAAACCTCAGAAAAGTCTCTGTGAAGGGAATTATATCTATGCTGAGAGCCGAAGGATGAGTTTTCAGATACAAAAGTGAAGAATCAGGACAAAGATGACAATTTTCCAGGAAAAAACCCCAAAATGTTCAAAAGATATGGTGAGAATTTTATGTTCCATGACTAGAAATGTTTTGAGTTTTGGTTGGGTTGAATGGCTAGAAGAGAAGATGGCAAGAGATATATCTGGGGCTGTAATCAGGGGATATATATAAACGGTCTTATAAGCCACTTAGAGTAGTTTGAAAATTAAAGTCAATAGGAAGCTAGACTTTAAATGGTTTTAGACAGATGTAATTTGATTAAATTTAAATTTTAAAAATATCCTATTCAGGAATGGAGAAATGATTGGAGAGAGAGTAAAAAATTATACTCTGGGTAAAAATTATAATACTTTGTGGGGAAGAGTTAAGCTGTTTTATTTTAAAAATAGAGGAAGAAGTGGAACAAATATAAAGAGAAAATTCAAGGATGGTATCGAGGTATTTGTCTTGAAGAACTGTGTAAATAGTGCCTGTTACTGAAAGAGAGCCAAAGATTTAAGTTTTGAAGTAAAGCAGTGTTCAATTTTAGGTGTGTTGAACTGTAAAGGTTCATTACATTCAGATGGTAATTAAAAATGAGAAGAGGGATATAGCTCAGCAGCACAGCGCCTACCTGGCAAGCACACTGTTCTGAGTTCAGTGCCTGGTACCCTCACGCCAAAAAAATTAGATTCCCAGTTTTCAGTGAAAGAATTCGTAATGAAATTATCCTACTGCAGTATTCTTGCAGGGATCTGTGAAACAATTTTGGTTCTGTAGGTGGGCAATGTGCCATCTAGTTTGTCATAGTTCTTATCCTTTTTAACTCAGTGATTACCATGGATTTTTAAATTCATGACCACATATTACATAGAAATAGATGGCAGTTTAGGACAGGATACCACGTGGTATTAACATTTAGGATAGGACAATATGAAAAGACCAACAAATCAATTTAAGATTCAGATATTCTTTATTATTTTGGGCAGAATCTTTCATGATTTTCATACATGCTTAAGCCATGATGAATGGGAGAAAGAGAAATGAATTGTGATGTCCAGAAGAATTACTGAGCATTGTTTAGGTGCTGTTATATGAATTTATTGTCATTGATTTTTCTATCTAAAATAATTTTTTGAAATTTCATGATCCATAATTTTATATTTTAAAAAATTCATTATAAATAACAGAAATTTATTCTGATAAACAAATATAATCCTACATTATTCTGCTGAATTAGTTGGTTTTATAACCAACTAGAAGAATCTTGCATATAGTTTCATTCCCTAAAAAAATATTTTAGTGATTGCCTTATGGTAAATGAAAAAATATTTCAGTGGACCAACAAGCTTGGAAAATATTGAAGATTTGGGATAACTATTTGCGTAGTACTGGTTCTAAAAAGTTTTGTAGGAAAAAATATTTAACTTTATTTAATTTAGAGTTTCCCAAACTTTAAGGAAATGAGTCACTCTTTCTGTGGAATGTCTTATATCTCCACTAGTTGAAAATGGAATACACTTTGGTAAAAGCAGCTCAGTCAAACCCTAGAGACAAGAGGTTTTTCTTTTGTTTTGTGCTTTTGCTTATTCACTCTTGTTAGCTACTAAGTGGTAACTTAAACATTATACTTTATTAGAAGTAGTTATATCTTTATGGAAACTCTATCTATAAATGGTGTTTTACATATCACTGTAGAAAAAACTGCAAAATACTAGTATGAAACCTGTTTGTTTTTCTTCTTTCCAGACTATATCGTAGAATGCAAAATAATAACAAATTCCCAATGATTGTCAGAAAAATCATAAAACATACTATTAATAAATGGGTTAATGTTTTGCCATTATATTAGATATTATATAAGTATAATTTCTAATCTGCACAATTATTCAGTAAGATCAGGCTTACTGAATGGAGGCTAATACTTTGTTTTTAGATGAGAAAATTTAGAATAAATCCACTATTAATATCTAATCTGTATTTATTTTTTCTGGGTCACTGAGAATTTAGTATCGGGGAGCCTAAAATTACTTAAATTTTCACTTTTATCTAATTTTAAGTAGTTTTTAAAGATTCAAATATTCTTCATTGCTTTGTGCTGACTCTTTCATGATTTTCATGTGTATTTAAAAATAAACTAAAACTAGATAATGTGTGCATCAAAATAAACTAGTCAGGTGTGGTAGCACATGCCTGTAAGCCCTGCACTTTGGAGGCTGAAGCACAGGATTACCATAAATTACAGGCCAGGTGGGGTTATATCAGTGAGTTTAAGGCTAGCAAGTTCATAGCAAGATCCTGTCTGAAAAACAAACAAGAAAACTAACCACAAAGAAAGTGAACACTAGGTGAGTTTAACCTGGCACGATTACTTTTATTTAAAAAGACTAGGAGAAACTGAGCACTAATAAATCTCTGATCATATCAGGTTATTTCATAATTAACCATAATATAGACACATGAAAAAGTTAAACTAGGTATTATGAAAAATATATGCCAGATATCAGAGTAGAATAAGATCAGATACACAAGGTCCCTTTAAGAATACATTGTTGGTCTTACAATTGTGTTCATTACATGAGATAACCACAGAATATATGGACTATAGCTAATGAATTAGGGTTCCCCAGCTTATCAGTTTTCTGGAAGATGGCAATCACTAGAATGAACTTCGTTTTAAATTAAAGGTCCCACTGTACTTTTGTTTGGGAGTAAAATCAGAGATTTCATTGTCATAAGCAAATTAAATCAGGTATGTACTTTCAAATTCGGTTGAAACAAGTTCACTGCATCAATTTTGTGGTTGTAATTTAAGTCAATTTCAAATTTTCAGATGTTCATATACACAACAAATAATGACAAATCTGATTTTTATGCAGAAATTTGTTCTTAAACCTGATTTTTAAAAAAAATTGCATCTCATTTAGCGCTAATAGAGGGAAGCAAAGTAGTGCATAAATAAAACCAAAAATTGTACAAATTTGAGCTTAACTCCTGAATTTCTTTACTTCAGTCTCTAATAACAAGTTAATTTAATGTTTAGTTTTTAATTGCTGCTTTGAATTAATTTAACAGGTCCACCAAAACTCATCCAGGTCCAGTTGAACATTTAAATGATAGTCCAAGAGATGAAGGGAAAGTAAGTATTATAACATCATTATACATGCTTTTATTTTACTCATTCTTGATAAAAATGTGTTCTCCTCCCTATCTTCCTCTTCTTTCTCCTTCCTCTTCTCCTTTCAAAACATTCAGTGTTACAATTAAATTTGAATGTATGGAGTGAGAAAATGAATGAGTGCATGAATTACTCATGCTCATAAAGGTCCCTAACTAAATCTTCAGTATCATTTGGAGCTAAATTTGATACTTAATTTGAAACTAGAGGAAGTTAATATGTAGAACAATGTTTATTGTCTAATATTTAATGCTTGAGCTTTATGTCAATATCATAAACATTTGTCTTTGTTGTTTAGTTTTGATAGTGATAAATAACCAATGTAAAGTAACATAAATCAGCCAATCTTGAGATCATAAATGTTACTAAAATATAAAATGTTAACAGAATACAGAGAATCCTTATTACTTTTGATTATTTGATAATTGGCCTTTGATGATGAGGAAATAAAATTTGTAACATGAAGCGATCTAAATAATCACTACTATAATATGCTATGCACATGTAATGATTATATACTGAAAGTTTGTATTGATAGAAATAAAAATTTGCTGTCATATATAAGTTTCTTCAAGTATCTAATTTTTGATAAAGACTGTAGAAAATATCAGTAAGTTATTTATCAGGCGTTTCATTCTTTATCAGTAAAGGATAGAAACTGAGCTATCTAGTCATTGTGCTGTACACCTGTAATCTTAGTAATTCAGAGATTGAGGCACAAGAATTGTTGCGAGTGTCAGGCCAGCCTGAACAGTTCGTTGTGAGACTCTGTCTTAAAAAAAGGGAAAGAAAAAGAAAGAAAGAAAGAAAGAAAGAAAGAAAGAAAGAAAGAAAGAAAGAAAGAAAAGAAAAAGAAATAAAAAAGTAAGAAAGAAAAGAGAAGAGAAGAGAAAAAAGAAAAACTGAAATAACCTAATAAAAATTAAACCAGAATGGCAAGTGTACATGATGGAACTACATTGCATTCCCTCAAACTGATCGTAAATTTGGTGTAATTCCAATCAGGTGCCATCAGAATTGATTTATTATTAAATAATTCAGAAGCTGATTTTGAAATTGATCAGAGAAAGAAAAAGTTTAAGAATAGCCAAGACATTGTTTAAGACGAAATGCTATGTAGTACTATTTCATAAGTGTACAAGAATACCAGTCGTCTAAATACATATTCCTGAAATGGTTCAGGAGAAATTTTACACATTTTAGAGAAGATATTTTAGGACGTAATTTATTTATTTTATAAGTAGTATTGGAAAGTTCACTGTCCACTTAAAAAAATAGCAAGATCTCCACCTTAAACCTTTCTCAGTAGTAAATATCATATTAGAAAATACGTAAAACACATAAACATTGAAATCACGTCTTAGAAAGCATTTGAAGAAACTTACAGAATATAGTTTGTTCCTTTAGAGTAGGGACACAGGCAAGACATAAAACCTACAATCAGTAAGGAGTATAATAACATAACAAGATGATCATAAAAGACAATATTTACTACAAATAACAGGTAAATAATGAATATTAAGAAAATACAACAAACCTTTGGTAATAATAAATCAATAGATGATACTTAATAAATTACAAAAAGGCAACAGAAATATATTTAGATATGTGAACATTAGTACTAGAAAAAGTATTTTAAGAGTTGAAAACATGGTTTTCTTATCCCTAAAGATCAGTGTCTGAGAGTGAGGAGGAAATAGCCTCCCAACTAATTACCAGTATACCAATTTCCCCCATCATACTTGCAAAATACTAAAAATTTATAAAAAGCTAGCAATACTCAGTAATGAAAGAGACCACTGTTGCATAGACATCTAGTTATATGTTTATATACCAATATGAGAAATTTAAAATTATCTACATTTAAAGCATGTATTTTAAAAATCATTACAATGTAGGAAATCAATTTCAAATGTTTTTATGAGATACTAGCATGAGATATTTCAAATGTTCTAAATGTCTGTCAGTAGAAAATTGAACAAATGAATGCTGATATACAATGGAAACTTCCTTCAGATATATTTTTGAAGGAAAAGTTGTGAAGCAGGAAGACATAGAACCATTGGAACAATGTATTTATATTTGTGTTCATACATTCATTTGCCCAATATAAAAAGCCTAAAAAAATATACGCAAATCAAGGAAGGACACTAGAAATTAGAATTGGGAAAAATAGTAAAAATTACTGGTTTTCCTTGTGCTGTTCGTATTTTTAGGAATGAGTGTAATATGTGGTAGTCATATAATTTCAATTAAAGAAATGCAAAATAAAAGAATACTGGTCTCAGAAAACTATGTGAGTTGAGGTTGTACCACTTACTAACATATAACCTTAAATCACTCTGTCAGTGAATGAAGTAATGTGAAGTTTTTAAATTTACCTACATTATTGAATGTTTTGTTTTTAATAGCTGTCCTTAGATTTTCTGGCATAGTTGTGTATCAAAGCACAACAAATGTAGATAAATTTGATGACTTCCCAATATTTATACATATATATATATATATATATATATATATATATATATATATATAGTATATTTTAGTGTTTTCTTGGCTGTTACTCTGTAATGTTGAATATAATGGCCTTACCTTTGTTTTCAGTCTCAGAGGAAAGTTTTTTAAGATTTTAACAATAAGTAAGATATTGCTATAGGCCTTTGGCCGATTGCTTTTATGAAATTAAAAAATTTCCACCTATTTACAGAATTCTAAGAATTTTAAACTGCGAATCTTGATGATTTCCATTATCTATATTTTATGTTTATCATTTAGATAATTATTACCTGACTTGTTAAGTTTGTTGAAATATGTTAATAGATTAAATTTTAAATAACTATGTTCTTCTGGGATTATTCAATTTGGAAGAGAAAGTTCCCTTGTGGTTTGCTGGTGAAGTGAAAGAAAAATTAAAGTATTGCAGCTAAAATTCCTATCCAACAAGCAAAATAGATTGTAAAATCAGAAGACAGATCATTTTATACCCACAAGATATAATTACCAAAAAAATGCAATTAGTCTGTCAAACAAAAAAGTACTCGCGAATGGTACCTATATTGAGCATAGTAATGATTTCATCTCTCAGATTCTGAGCTTTGTTTGTCTCCTAAACCTTGACTGTTCCTTCACCTGAGCTTTGTTAATTTCAAGCAGAGTTAAATTCATACAGTAGTGCTTCCCGAAGTTGGCTATGCCTAGAGTCTCTGGATCCTCTCATTAATTAAGAATTCAAAAGATGTGCCATAAATAGGACCTTCACTCTGGCTTCCCTAAGAAGATATAGGAAATTTTTCCTGCTTTCCTTCTCTTCTCCCTTTTGACTGTGTGATGGATGTCCTTATTCTGGGCTACTTGTTTGTTTGTTTGCTTCCTTGCTTGTTTGACACAAACTGTTAGAAACATGCTACAAGTTCAAATCAATGAAACAATTGCTAAGTGACTGGAATATCTCTGCTTCTCCACATAAAATAGTGGTTAGTGGAATAATGAATCACCTTTCTTTTACTTCTTTGTTTTATTTCACTTTCCCTTTCCTGTTACCTTTCTGTATTATTATGCCCTGACATTACACTTTAATGAAACATTCACACTTAAATTTTTCCATGAGATTTTTTCATATAGAATCAGGTTGATAATAGTTATCATAGTTGTTCTAGGTTTAGACTATAGCCCATGAGCCAAATCCGGCCTGCTGCCTCTTATAAAATGTTTTATTTGGAGTACAACCATGTTTTGTTATTAACATTTTGTCTGGGGCTGCTTTCTTTATATCAAAGCAAAGCAAAGCATTTGTGATAGGGACCATATGGCCTGCAAAGCCTAAAATATTTACTATCTTCCCCTTTACATAAAACATTTGCTGACTCCTATTCCAGATGGTAGACCCTCAGCATGGGATTTTGCATTGGATTGTCTGCTTTCTAAAATCAAAGAATCTATTGAAGGTGCCACATAAGGTAGGCATTAAACTCTGCCACACAGTCACATAATAATTACTTGGACATTCTCTTGGTAATTAACTGGGATATGGGCTGCTGGAAAGATAAGACAATGAGTGATCAGGTACTTGTGATTATTTAATTTATAAGGGGCAATGATAAGCATAATGATGATGACAAAAATAGATTCATTTGATGGTATTTGCATTTTTTATTACTGATATAAATGATTACAATGTCATTGCTGAAAACAGTAATTTTTTACATTACAATTTTGTAGGCCAGAAGTTCAACACAGGTCTCACTGGACTATAATCACAAGGTATTGGGAATTTAGTATTTCTTTAGGTACTCCAGAAAAGAATCTGATTTCCTGCCTTTTCAGAATCTGCACACATTTCCTTGGGTTATAGCTTGCTTTCTCCAGCTTGAAAGCCAACAGTGTAGCTTCTTTCTGATTTTCTGTCCATTACTGCATCCTGTCTGACAACGTGTGGGAAACATTCTCCACTCTGAAGGACTCAGGTGATTAGTTTTTATCCACTTGGGTAAGCCAGGATAATCCTAATGTAAAGACATCAACCTGTAATCCTTAAATATATTTGAAATATCATTGTCATATAAAGAAATTTTTGTATGTATGGTGCTAAGTATCAAATCTAGAGCTGTTTTCATAATAAGCGCACACTCTACACCCACAGCCCATTTGGATTATATTTGAATATTCTGAGGATTAGACTGTTGGCATTGTTAGAAGTTCTTTATTCTGTTGAAGTCATACTAGAAGTTAATTACTGATTTATCTCACCCTAAAGCCCTGTGAGATAACTCTAAAGTACCTATTATTTCCTTTAGCTCTAGGTCCAGTATCTATTTATAGAGTCCAAATACATAGGCTTTTATAGGCATCATTGTTATAGTCAGAGCCCTAATGAAGAATATGACCATAATATCTGGTATATTTTTTAGGGTGCCATAACAAATTCCAAGAAACTGGGTGACTTAAAACAATAAAAATTTAACTTCATAATTCTGGAAACCAGAAGTTTGTAATCAAGTTGTTGTTTAGACCATGCTCCCTCTGAAGACTTGGACAATCTTCTCTTGCCTCTTTCAACTCAGATATTGTATGTCTTGGTACACTTTAACTTCAGTCTCCACTTTTATATCTTCTCTGTGTCCTTTCTTCTTCGTATAAGAACAGTAGTCATTGGACTTAAATAAGCCTAATAAATCCAGGATGATTTAATCTCAAGTTTCATAATTTTATCTGCACAAATACTAATTTCAAATAAGGAAAAACACATTCTGAAGTTCTAGATAGGCATGTCTTTTTTGAGGACACTAGCCACACACTGTACCCAGACTGGGTAAATGTCTATAGATAAGCCTGATAATTATAATCCCCCTCCTGATCCTTCTGCAAGGTGCCTGAACCCTCAAGACTAGCATTTGTGCCACATTCATATTTCAGGGTGAGATGAGTTTCTTATTTCTGGGAGACTGTATAATGACTTCCCTTGAGACAGATGAATTGTATGATGTATATATTCACAAGACTACTTCAGTATCATTCCAGCCTATAATCAGAATCAGAAATATATTTCAGCACATCCTAAGCATAGAAATGAACCACATATAAAAGGACAGAACATTTACCAAAGGAGCTGAAGACCTTTTAATACTGTCATTTCTCGAGGGAATGCGCCTGGGAATGACAAAAAGTATTGTGTAGGGAAAAGTTTTTTTTTTAAATTTTATTTAAGGAGAAAAAGAAAAAAAAAGCAGAAAAAGGGTACAAGTTATACAGAATTTCAGAAAAAAATAAACAGTAGGATATCACTAGTTAATGGATTACATATTGTCATCTTAGAAATATTTGTTCACATTGCAAAATTAAAGCATATAAAGTGGACATTCAAACATACAATCTCTCTCCTTTATAGTTAGTGCAACCACAGAATGTTTTCTCCTAGCGGCAGTGGTTTATGATCACTATGTAATTGCATACAATCCTTTGCTTTACCCAGTCATTGCGACCAATAGACTATGCATCAATCTGTTAGTTTTATCATTTGTAGGTGGCTTCTTAATGCCTTAATTCATAATAGTTTTTTTATTCAGATTAACATTCTGTAATTCCCACCTCATACATGACTTTTATTGTGAGGTTATACCATTGTTTAAGATTTATTGTACAGATCCTGCTCTTAATTATCTACTGGCTTTTATTTTCTCTGATTCATTTCAGGTACTCAGAATTTTGATTGTTCTTATTTCTTATACACTTATTCTATTCACTGTTTTAAACAAGAAGTCTCTCAAAGGCATAAGGAAACCCTTCGCCACCTGCAGAACCCATCTCTTGTCTGTGTCTTTATACGATGGCCCCCTTCTCTTCATGTATGTGCACAGCATCTTCACAAGTAGATGATCAGGATATGATCTTTGTCTGTTTTTCAACATCAGAAACTCTGCATTAAATCCATTTTATTACAGTTTGAGAAATAGACCACTCATAGATTCACTGAGAAAAATGTTCAAGAGAAATGCTTAGGTCTCATATTAATATCTACTCTCTTTTATCTAAAATAAAACATAAAAAATGCACATTTTCAGTATTTTTCACAGATTTTTGTGGTTATAGTTCTATAATATTAATGACTTAAGTGTGTGTGTCTTAGTATGTTCTGAAAACATTTGCATCGTTCACTCATAAACAGTTTTAATATATTATGTCATACAAGAAACTTTAAAGCTGAAAAGAAGTAAAACACTTTACAGTTTGTGTTCTTGAATTATTTATATATTGATCAATAAACTACATTGTTCCAAATGACATGAGTATGGCAAGTTTATCCAAATAATAACACTGTGTTCTTTGGACTCATATCACATTTATGTTTCTGTGGCTGCAAATTTGTTTTTGAGTAAAAAAAAATCACTGTATTACTGCTGGTCATAAAAAGTTCTTTCATTCTACTGTTTTGGAGAGAGGAAATGGTGAGTTTCATATCTTGGAATTATTCAACTCGGATGTGTTAGAGAAATATCATCTAAGCTTTCAATACTCAAGAATAAGATGGTTACTAAAACATTGAGGTCAAGGCTTAGAGTAAAAGTTGTTTTTAAATTGGTGTTCAAGTAAAGAAAAGAGATGTGCTAGCTTTTTTTGTCCCTGATTTGTATTCACCTTCTTTAAAGCTGTCTTGATTTGTTCTGGGCAATGTAAAAAGCCTTGCTAATTCAGAAAACTAGTGATGAAGTTAAATAATGGATGAACATTGGAATCAGGAGCAGCGTAGGAAATTTTCATCTTCCCTAAGTGTAAACAAAGCTAAAAAGATTAACATCCAAACATTATTGTTCACATGAGGGGCTTTAAATTGATTTTACCAAAGTACAAATTGTTAACTCTGATGTAATGAAGTACTATCCAGCTTGGGGCTGGGAAAAACAAAAAAACTTTGAATGTTGGGTTTCCTTGCTCTTCAGATTCTCTAAGTATAATGTGTGATCATGCTACAGGTTTCCTTTTGCCATTTTTCTCTCACGACTAATCTTAGACATAAAGCCAAATATTGAGGCCATTTATACTACCATAGTGAAATTCCACATTTTTTCTTGTGATACCACTGATTCCCTCACCTTAAAAATTACTTTTTTGTATAGAATTCTAGCTAATATATCCTCCATTCTGCTTATACGTTGATTCCTCTGCCTTACTAAACTTTGCTATAACATGTTTCTTCATATATAGACTTTAGATTCATTCATATCCCAATTTAATAACACATTAGATTGTCATTATTTCTAGATCTAGGTCACAGTGTTCTGTAGGGTCACAGTTCTGTAGATAAATAGAATAGGTACTTCATTATGTCTTCTAACTAATCTTTTTAAAATGAAAAAAGAATAAAAATGATGATACAGTATTTCAAATGAAAATAATCAGAGATTAACAGTGGCTAATACATATATGTATTTATCATTAAAGTAGTTGCTCAGATTACAAGACTGGGGCATAAAAAATGATAAACAATGAAAGCCCACACTCTTCATTTTTCAGCAGTTTCTTCCCATTTCACTTTCACAGTATCTATCAGGCATTTACTCTTTCAGTATTTCATACTAGTGAGACAATATGATGTTTACACAGCAAGTCTGACTTATTTTCCTTATGAATATGGTCTCAAGTTGCATTGATTTACCCATAAAATCTCAAATTCCCCTGGGTAATTTGTAGATAAAAGGTAGAGTAAGAGAGAAAAAAAGGATTAAAAAAAGACACCAAATGTCCTTAGGACTTGCACCAAGGAAGTGGAGAAATAGCTGACAGGCAGGACACAGAGAGAAAGCCAAGTACACAAATGGTAAGCTGTCCCTCTCTCCAATAGAATATAGGTGAAGCAAATGGGGGAGGGGCAGTGAGTAAGTTTAAGACAAAATATATTCACACTTTCCATATACATATGCATTCACTCTAGGATCACTATATTCATATCCAGTCTAGTGTCACTATATAAATTTCATCATTATAGACTACAATAGACATCCATACTCCCTCTTACTAATTGTATGTTAATGATGAATAAGGTATCTCTTTGTCAAATAGTGGTCCACTCCAAAAATAAAGTCCTAAAGGTCAGAGACAATCAAGTAGAAACAAAGAAGATGAAAAGTGCCATTATGCAGAGGTGTCCAGAAGTCTATCCAGGTATAGGAATTTCTGTGTATGGTGGTGTCTCCACCCAATACAAGCATCCAGGAACAAAGGAGTGATGATTCCCCCATTTTTTGGAGCCCCCGCTCTGAACGTTTCTTATCAAAGTACTTATCTGTCTTCTCCATCTACTCATTCCCTCTTCAAAAATAAAGTATCTTTCATTAAACTTTGTCTCTAATTTTTTATGTATTTTACCATCATGGGGGGTTGCTGGGACAGCACATTTTGGTTGCTCATTCTCTGGATTCAATACTTTTATGGTATAATTATGTAGATCAGCAAAAATTGACAT